TACATTAGACTAAAATAGTGGGCAATGCGGGACAAGTGTCTAAGCCTAAGGCAACTAATGTAAGAAAAAGAGGCTGGTTCATGTGTTATAAATGGGCAGCACCCTTTATTTTTATGGCATAAGTGAAAAACGTGTAAGAGTACACATTGAGTTAGGAAAGAGTCCTAAGTCTGGTTTTCAAGAGTGAAAACACCTAAGGCTAAGAGTAGTCTTGTGAGGGTCAAGAGTGATCTTCTTGTACACGGCACTGTACTTCGAGTTTGAGTTTCTTTGGATGCTCGAGTTAAATACAAAGTTGGGAAAAGAGTTTCCTGTATATTGTGCCTTGTGTTCATCTAAATTTTCTGTTGCCTTTACTTATTTTTCGTTGCCTAAAATCAGTCCTAAACTTGCTGCGTTGAAAGCTGTCCAAAATATTCTAAGTCCAAAGTTGCTGTAATTTTGGCTAAGTGTTAGAGCAGGCTGAAGTCAAGTGTGAGACATGACTGTCGTACAGGCTGTTTTTGTGTGACATAAAACGCGCCTGTGACACATACTTTTAGCCAGAATTTATTTATCTCAGTACAAAATAATTTGGTTGGGCAACATTTTCGTGCACCATAAGAATGGAAAATATTCTCTTAGTTAAAGCCTCACACATCAATATCATAGCCTAACCATCTAAAATCTAACTCTGAGGTGTATAAAGCATCACATGCGTGGCATCACACTTTACACTAATATACTGTACCCGATTAGTTCTATAGTCAAAAGAAAAAACAAATATACTGAAGATACCTCAGAAACAAATTACGCAATTGCTATCAATGCGATCAATATCTGTTCGACCATTGTCACTCTATATTTCTGTGATGGCTAGAACATGCTCATTTTTTGCGATACCGTTACGAGGATATTGTTTTGTGAAGTAACTCGATTAGCATACTATAAGATCTACATTATGTATTTTACATATCTTTTACTAACTACTATGAAATCAATATGAAAGACGATTTAATTCTGCTTGAATGAGCATTGATAAACACCATTTCTTCTTGTCTTATCTCGAAAGTATGATCCACATAAAGAATAAAAAGGAAAAATAACAAATATATGAGAACACAACGAAAAACGTTGCTCTAAAATAAGAGGAACGCAAAAACAGGTAAGCACAGAAAATACTCAGCTATTGGCCGTGTGAGTTTTGTCTTGTTTCAAACGATAGGTCTCCTTCATATGGCATATTCATGATATGGTAAATGTGGTCCAATATTTTCCTTCTTCCTTGGATATGTATGAATCTATTATAAGGCATATCAGATATAATAATAACCCCTCTTACCCAACATGTCCTCCTATATATCTTCGTCTCTATATATCCCTCTTCTTCCTTTATATAGGAACAACTCTTTCTCAACCCTTGTCACTAGTTAAATAATCCATTCAAAGAAAAAGAATTAAATACTTATAATATAAGAGCAAAGCAGAAAACAATACTCTCCATTTAGATGGAGAATAATATTGCTTGTTCCATTATTTACTTCCTTCTCTTTCTTCTCACAGCTCTACTCTTTTACATTTCAAAGAAACAAATATGGAAAAACATACAAAAAGCAAAGCTTCCTCCCGGTTCGATGGGCTGGCCGTATATAGGGGAAACTCTCCAACTCTACTCTCAAGACCCAAATGTCTTCTTTGTTAACAAACAAAAAAGGTTTAATCTTTCCTCAAAGAAAATATCTTCAGTTTAATTACTAAAACAAACTTATAAACAATTTACTCATTCTTTTTCAAATGTTTGTTTGCAGGTATGGTAATATATTCAAAACACACATTCTTGGGTACCCTTGTGTTATGCTTGCTAGTCCTGAAGCTGCCAGATTCGTGCTTGTAACTAACACGCACTTGTTCAAACCAACTTACCCCAAGAGCAAAGAGAAGTTGATTGGCCATTCTGCTTTGTTCTTTCACCAAGGAAACTACCATTCTCAACTAAGGAAACTAATTCAGAGCTCGTTATCTCCTGAAGCTCTTCGTAAACTAGTTCGTGATATTGAGGCCTTGGCCATTTCTTCCTTGGAATCATGGTCGCAAAATAACCAAGTCATCAATACATTCCGTCTGTTGAAGAAGGTCCTTTACTGATAACTTGTGCTACTTGTTGAATTGTGTGACCATATAATTATCTAAAAGTTTAAGGTTTCAGATATATATAGCAAACACACTTTTTGTTTATTTATGTCTTCAACACTACTTTGATCTCCTAGAATTTTCCACCACAATATAATGATCAATAGATCATTCTCACACGTGAATCTCATGGAAATATATACTACAGTTCTCCTTTGAAGTTGGCATTCTTGCTATATTTGGTCAGCTGGATACTAAGTACAAAGAGGAGCTTAACAAGAACTATTCCATAGTAGAAAAGGGCTATAATTCTTTCCCTACGAACTTGCGGGGGACTGCTTATTACAAAGCTATGGTGGTAAGTTAAGCTTCCCTTTTTCATTCCAAATGATCTTACTAAAGCCCCCCTACCCAGCCCCCCCCCCCAGCCCCCACCCCACCGAGACAGGGCCGATAGTTTTATGCTGAACTATATATTCTATTATTGTCAAAGGCGAGGAGGAAGCTTAATCAGATACTTAGCGAAATAATCTTTGAAAGGAAGGAGAAAAAAACAGTAGAGAAATATCTGTTGGGTCATCTACTGAATTTCAAAGATAAGAAAGGGCAGACTTTAACTGAAGATCAAATTGCCGATAATGTCATCGGAGTACTCTTTGCTGCCCAAGACACAACAGCTAGTGCTTTGACATGGATTCTCAAGTACCTCTACGATGACCAGAAACTTTTAGAAGATGTTAAGGTATCGGCTGTAGATTCCTTTTGGTTCTTAGCTAGTTAATTTGTTTCTATTGAGTTTAAAATAGTGTAAAACATTTATACACTATTAATGAATCACCCCAAAAGCTAACTACGTAACCTAGCCTGCTACAACTAGTGTAAAAATTAAGTGGAAATAGTTATCCTACTACTACAAGCTAAAATGCACTGATAGTGTAAAAAAAGAGATATTTTTATCAGTGTCCGGTAAATCTCTTTCTATTTCCAATCTCCATTCGTACTTCTCACATGTTTTATTGCCAAGTGATCTTGAATCCCCAAGTTTAAAATAAACCCTTTCCCTTTCAAGTGCAGGCAGAACAAAGAGCAATTTACGAATCAAATGAAGAAGGAAAGAAGCCGTTGACATGGGCTCAAACAAGAAATATGTCACTAACTTACAGGGTAATCTTTTCTTCTCATAATTAGTTGTAATTATATTCGCAGCTTCAGAAAATTAAAGGAAAATTCCCCTAATCAGCTAGAAAAACTTCTATTGCAGGTCATTTTAGAGAGCTTAAGGATGTCCAGCATTATATCTTTCACCTTTAGAGAAGCTGTGGTTGATGTAGAATACGACGGTAAGGCGGTAGTTTTCAATCATATGTTAATTCAACCCTATATATATATTATGTATATGTACAAGTGGGCACACATTAATAAACTCAGAGCTCCCATAGGAATGCTCTGATTATCTATTTCACATGGACTCGACTACTACGTATCAGATACGAGTCGGTGTGAGTATTTGGTATAGATACTTCAATAGTTTTTTTACTGCTCCCGTCGGTCATTTTATATGATTGTTTGACTGGACACGAAGTTCAACTTTTTTGTTGACATATAAGCTAAATATATGTAACATACCAAAAGTACTGAGTATATCTAGTAGTTTTGCAAATGTAATGCCATTCCTATAAATGTATTTCGTCAGGGATACCAGGGAATGTTAAAGTAAATAGTTTCAAATAGAGAACAATGACAATCTTTTTAGAGCGAAGTAAAAAGGAAAGAATGTCATTCCGCACAAAATCACATGTCACACTCATTGGACACGAGTACATCAAGACAAATTGAGAAATGTATAAATCATAGTTGATTATACCTTTAATTCATCCGTAAGACACATTACTTCGTTCAACATGAGTAGTAAAAAATATCTTTGATGCAGGTTACCTGATTCCAAAAGGTTGGAAAGTCATGCCACTATTCAGAAACATTCATCACAATCCAGAATTTTTTGCTGACCCACGGAATTTTGATGCTTCCAGATTTGAGGTATGTGGTGATCGAGTACTAGCAAAGTGCTTTCCAATTCTCCACCTGTCTAAAACATTAAAATATGAAAAAATTGGTTTACCCCAACTTTTTTTTTATGTGGTGACGGATGGATGCAGGTTGCTCCCAAACCCAATACCTATATGCCATTTGGCAATGGTGCCCATGCTTGTCCAGGAAATGAACTTGCCAAACTGGAGATGCTGATTCTCATTCATCATTTGGTTACCAAATTTAGGTATGATAATGACATCATATTTTCTTCTAGATTCATATCTCTATATTATTTTGAGACCACAATTTTTAACTTTTTAGAAAAATCCAGTGTATAATATAATAGTAATAGTTAACAACAACTACAATAATAAAGAAAATGCATATCCAAAAGTTTGAGCCAGCAGGTAGGGAATACCATAGCATCACTACTTGCCTATAATAATGGGTGTGTGTATATATATATATATATATATATATATATATATATTCTTTTAAAAGGTTATTTATTCAATTAGGGGTGATGTGGTCGCGCTCAAGTGTAGCAGAAGTACATCCACCCAGCTACCAACCACATAATTCTTTTTTTTTTTTTTTTTGAGCTGAAACCAACCACATAATTCTCACAAAAATCTAGTTAAAAAAAGAATGAGTTTAAAGAAATTTCAGCTCCCATTATATTTATGTGATGCCACGAGATTCTTAAAAATTTCTCTTTCACCTGCAAAACCTCCAACATAATTCTTTTTTCCTCCACATGTAGCTATGAGAAGAGCATTAAATATCTAGGTATTCTAATTTTATTTTGAGATTTTTTCTCATGAGTTCAATTGTTGCAGGTGGGAAGTCGTAGCTTCCAGAGAAGCGGTACAATATAGCCCATTCCCCATACCTGAGCATGGACTTCCATCTAGGTTCTGGAAGGAAACAAGAAGCCAAACAGATCCCTGGAAAACAGATGCCTCCTGATTAAACTAATACTAGCAACAACAGCAAAAAGTAGAAAGCAGAAGATACTTCAGAACTTAGTTTCCAGTTTCTAGTGATACTCATCCCTGTAAATTTTTTCTTTCCTGGGATCTATTTTGTTCTCTTTCACGAAATTGTATTATATAATACGGAGTAGTAGGATCTATTTTGTTCTCTTCCACGAAATTGTATTATATAATTACGGAGTAGTATGTAAAGTCAATCACATTTGCTAACAAAGAAAGCCATATCTTTTCTTCTTCCGGCTCAATTGTGTTCATAATGTACTCCAGGATTATTTCTAGCTCTGTATAATAACAACAATTTTGTATCAGTCCCAACTAAGTTGAGGTTGTTTATATGAATCCTCACTAACCACGTTTCTCCATTTAAATTCATCCCAAGCCAACATTAGGCAAAGCAAAATAAAAGTAAGAAGTACTAGAAGTTCTTTATATTTTATACTAGCATAAAAATATTTGATGGAGCTAAAAGACTCCTAGAAAGCATATGATCTAAAATAAACATACTAACACGACTATGTTAGTATCACCTATATAGATCTTTTTCTTCCACAGTGCTATCTTTTGCTAAGTCGGCATGGATTCCTAGCTCTATATATTCCAATTTGGTGAAAGATATGATTCATATAAGTTGGAAAAGTACCACCATAGTGGAAGGTTACCAGTCAAGAAATGATGATGAATGGAACTTTTCTGTGTGCATGGCATTAATTGGAGCACGTGTATTTAGATTCACGTGGAAGTCCACATCACTGGCCTCAGAAGAAAGTCCACATCACTGGCCTCAGAAGATCCAAGTGTCCCAGCTGCTTGAGTGCCTGCAGAAAAAGGAAATGTCTTGATCTAATGGGAAATACCCAAGAGTGGAAATTAGCACTTATGGTATAGGATGAAGGGTCCCATTAGCATGTCACTACCAAAATAGCCATCATTTGTATAGTGATCCTGAAGCTATAATGGTCTGGTCGGGTACAGTCCTGGGGGCTGGGATCTCTGTAGATTTAATGGAAACAATTGCTATGAGGAAGTAACAAACTGGAGCTCTTATAGACATTTAGAGCAAAGAACTACGTTGCTTTCGAGCCCCCTCACTCTTAGTCTGGAATGTTCCAACAGGAATGCACCTCAACGATAGATCTGGATGATTCTGACCTGTATATACATACCAAAATTAACTAATAAAACAAAAGGTAACACCAATTAGAACCACAACAGCTCTAAATCAGTTAAAGAAACAGAATGCAAAGGCATCACAAGCATTACGTGAATAGAAAATGTCAAAACATATGTTATACATCACAACATGTGAAAGCAACATGCAAGCTACAAAGAATTTTGAGTAAATCAGGATGTGCGATTGTCTCATTTCAGTGGATTATTTTTTTATGAATCTAGCGACAACAGATTGCATATCTGAAGTAAATGAAGTTCTTCACATGGGAATAAACTTCACCTTGGAAAGACTGAACTTCAAAGGCACAGCTTCAGTCAGCTTGATTCATCACCTTAGTAACCTCAAGGGTAGGGGGAAAATGGTTCATCAAGTTACCCTCAAGCAAAATATGTACTACAATATTTGTTGTAGCAGAGATAAAACTCAGAAAGCCGACCAACATTGTGCCTTTCCATGTGGACGAGGTCGGCTTGCAGGTGGGTGGGGGCTTGCGTGGAAGTAGCAAAACTGCAACCATAAGGTTGGACGTTATTTATTAATCTCTCTACTTTCTGAAACCAGGGTGAAGGCACAAATGTCAATGTAGCATGACCTTCACAAGTTTAACTGGTGCTCTGCCGCTCTTTCCTAAATTAGAAAGATCAAGATCTTAATCATGTAAGGGCAAAACGATTAATAAGAGATCACTAGCTTTCTGATCGAAGAAACATAAGGGGCAAGTTGATGTGTCATTGGGTTGGTGCGGCAACATATAGGAAATGAGTACCCACCTAATTCACATAATCACCAACATAAACACATACACAATCTTAATCACGTAAACAAAGTGAATCACTAATACTTTTGGATATAAGATGACAAATGGCATTTGGTTCCTCACATCTAATGATTAGGACATTTTTTTCCCAAGTCGAATGTATTTTACATTTTTGCGAAGGTGAGATAAGAATAAATGGCAACAGTTTCCATCAAAATGACTTATAGGAAGGAGGAGACTACGTTTCCCTGGATTGGAAGGTCTGAGTTTTACAGATTCATCTAACAGATCACGCAGTTGAGTTCAAACAACATCTTAAATGAGTAGCATTTACTTACTATAGATCAGGCTTCTATCAAGAAACATTAGGATTGAAATGTTTATTTGGAGGGACATCTTAGTATGTAATTCAAAAACCACTATTTAGGTTACAGGTCTGTGATACAACTGTTATCACAACCTACCCAAAACAACAGTTTTCAATAGACTAAATGCGTCCTTGTATCTCCAATATTTTGTTTCGCATTAGCATCAGAATGTTTTTGCAAAACCAATAGTTATACACAAGATGACTTTAAGAAAACTCACTCATAACTCCATCAATTGGTGATAAACTACTGCTGCAATTACACAGTTTGCAGCATAAAGTTTAGGAACTTTCTAGAAACAAGTAAAGCACTGAAGTTTTGCTCCAGAAATTAAACAAGGGTACGTTTGTTCAAGAAAAATAGGGCCCTTGAAAGGCTAAAAGTAGATCCATCAGCCAAGTCATATTTTTCCATATCAACTAGGCAGTCATTTCATGAGGATGATGCCCGCTATCTCTAACAAACGACTAGGGCAAAAATCACCTATAAACTGCTCAAAACTTCAAAAACAGAAAGCAAACCACAATTTATATAATCTCATCACGGGTACATGCTTGCTACAGCGATTGCAAGCTCTATGCTTCAAAGATTCCACTAGAAGGTTGAGGCTTCAAGCACCAAAGGTAAAAATCGAGAAACTAAGGAACTGACCAAGCATGAGCTTTCACTAGCTTGACTCACCAAAAACGTTAAATATTTGCAACCATTGATCATCGGTTCTGAACGTTCATTCAGGAAAGTAACTAATACAGGAACCTCATAACAAGTCATTGTACATGTTAGGATTAATGGCCTAGTTTTGGATGCTGCATATGTTGACCATGTAAAGAGATTGACATTTTGCAGTGTAGTAAATATGGCTGGCTTATTGAGCAATCTGAGTTAAGCACACAAAGCACTTGTTCGAGTTAGTCTCCCAAAAGCTATAGACGCTTGATTACTGAGATCCTCTGCGAAGGAAATATAACCAGTCCATTGCACTACTACTGATTCCAAGAAGTAGAAAGTGAATAACATTCAAGTTAAGGCTCTCCCACAGTACTATGGAATTCATATGAAACCAGAAAGTCAAGAACATCCAACAAAAGGCTCCTCCTAAAAGATACAGATAAATAGAAGTCAGAAAGTTCCTGAAATTACTAGTATAAATCTCCCATTAGTATCTGTGCGACAAATGAAAAATTAGCTACCCGTTCTAATCCAATTTAACATATCTATTTTAGAATCAAACACGTTCAATGCAGAAGCACAGAAAGTAGGTTCCAAGGTCAAGGCTCAATTATCATCTTAGATGTCCTAACTTAACCCCTCCTCCAACCCCTATCTCAAAAAAAGAGATTGCCAGTTCCCAAGAAGATAGGAAACACTTGGATTATATCTAAATCAAACACTTATTCTTCACTCGAACAGGCTTAATAAAATAAGTACAACTCTGTTAATTCATCATACCTTACTTATCATTTCCTGGCGCTCTAAGTTAACAAGACTATGTGGCTTGCAAGAACGCATGGGTTCAAGAATTAGTGCAGGAGTACAGGTTGTAGTATTTTGAGAAGAGGTACAGGTTGTAGTATATAATACATGAAAACAGGGGTATGGCCAGGTGTCAGAGGGACCTTTGTCAATTGAGATGGCTCTAGAAGATTCCCCTCAACAACGTTTGGATCTCCATGGCAAAGGCATCACTTAATAAAGGATGGTACATGATAAACAAAATAAGGTAACAATTTACACAATCTCACAGATCACTTATCATTCCCATAAAACTTCTTCTAAGTGACATATCGTCATACTTTATATTCTTATCAAGTATTATATAGTACCTGTACTGACCCAAGAAGGACATGACGTTAACAATGAGGGTCATTACTTCATCATTTCCTTTAATTTTCTTCTATACTTCCTTTCCATTTATATTATAATTTTCAGAAGTTCCTTGACTGATTACTCCTCATTTGAATAACCTACTTCAGATATTCCAAAAGTGATAACTTTTGGAGGATCACACGCCCAGACGGCATTTTTGTATAATTCGAGCAACATAATCATAGCTTCGCGGGTTATTAACAGAAATACACAAATTACTAAACAATTAAGCTTCATCACCAACCAATCTGTCCATGAACCAAAAGCCCAAACATAAATATCAAGCATGCATGTAGGGAAGAAAATACATAGNTTTTCTCTCTTACTGTTCATCTTAATTGTCCTTTAGCTCTACTGCTCTTACTTTACTTTTCTTATTTATTTGTTCTTATTGCTCTGAATCTACCTCGAGGTCACTAAGCTCGAGGTCACCGCTACTGAGTAACTTTGGTTTGATTCACTTGTTTCTTTCATTTCTAGTTCATATTTTCTGATTATTAATTGGTATTGAATCTAATCACATATCTTTAAAACAACAAACCAAATTTAATTGTTACTCGTATTTTCGAGGTAAACATTTTGGCTAATAGTGATTGTTTCTTTACTGATTCTCATTACACACGTTATTTTTACACTTTTTCTTGTCAAGAATTTTTGATTCTCAGGCTGAAACATGTCTAGCTCACAAAATGCACCTGTTCATGACAACGAAGGTCTTGGTGAAAACAACAATATAGGGGTCGGTGTACCACCGATAAACCTTGGGGAAGTGCCAAACATGGAACCAGTTGATGTTAGTTCACATATTGCTCTATACGCGAATTTAGGCACAGACCCCGGAGGGAGTGTACGTAGGGAAGGCCTGGTCACAAATTGAGACAAAAAAACCATCAAAGAGACTCTCGAGGATGCAAATGGATAATTGCTACACAAGAAGAACTAAAATCAGTTTTAAAGGAATAAAAATTTGGCACCCGAAACCTAGATAAAATAATAGAACAGTCATATGAACCAGATGGATNCGCCCAGACGGCATTTTGTATAATTCGAGCAACATAATCATAGCTTCGCGGGTTATTAACAGAAATACACAAATTACTAAACAATTAAGCTTCATCACCAACCAATCTGTCCATGAACCAAAAGCCCAACATAAATATCAGCATGCATGTGGGAAGAAAATACATAGACGTCCTTATTGCTCGATTTCAAGCTAAAATTCGTTGAAACGTGAAACAAACTAAAACATATAGTATTTCATATTTCATGAAACATTATGTATTGTTGAGATTGTACAGAAAATTCGACATTGATGAAGATCGAACTGTGTGAAAGAATACAAGTTAGGGAAAACCTGTCGATGATGAAGCAAATCCTATTGATCGATCATTCAGACTCCAAATTTAAGCAGGTTATCAACATGAATCCAAGTATATATCCTACACCGATAGGTGCAAGATCAAAGAAAAAGAGAGTATAGGTCGATCTCATTGTTGACCTAATTCCTAGAGAAGCGTACAAGTGACGAACGACTTTTAGAAACTTTTAGAGGGAACGCAAACTGAATGCAAATATATAGCCTTTTCAAAAGGGATTAAAATTCATGCGATGTACAATTTTTTTTTCTTTTCCCATTTTGCTTCTTGAGTTCTTGGTTCAAGAGGTTATTCGATTGGTTGAATTGGCAAAATAAATCTCACATCAAATTTGGCGATAAAATCATACCATCTTTATTTTTTCTATAACTATTAATGCATTAGTTGGTTAATTTGCGGCAATTTTTCGTTAATGTATTACTTATTTACGAGTCCATGTGTAATTTTACCGGTGGCATATACGTGAAGAATATATATATATATATATATATATATTGTATACGGTCAAAATCAAAAGCCTCCGATTTCTAGGCTCGAGGGTTCGTCTCGAGCCCGAGTTTGGACACTGTCGAGTTCGAGCCCGATGGATCAGATCCGAGCTCGAAGGTAGGATGCAATGATCACAGAGCAAAGTACAATGGATGCCGAAGCCGAGTATGCTCGACCCCGAGATAGTACCGTTATGGACTTATAACAGAATGGGCTAGATTCCTGCCACGTCCCCAAGATCATGGCGCAAATCCCGGAATATGATTGTACTATTCCGTACTAGGCGGTTAGACAGTTGTACCAAGAATATTCCTTACTGTAAATAGAAATAAACTTATTTAGGGTTCCCCTATTGTATAAAGGGGACCCCAATCATTTTGTAACTTCATCTGATCATTGGCAAGAATATAATATCCTACTTTTCTCTCTTACTGTTCATCTTAATTGTCCTTTAGCTCTACTGCTCTTACTTTACTTTTCTTATTTATTTGTTCTTATTGCTCTGAATCTACCTCGAGGTCACTAAGCTCGAGGTCACCGCTACTGAGTAACTTTGGTTTGATTCACTTGTTTCTTTCATTTCTAGTTCATATTTTCTGATTATTAATTGGTATTGAATCTAATCACATATCTTTAAAACAACAAACCAAATTTAATTGTTACTCGTATTTTCGAGGTAAACATTTTGGCTAATAGTGATTGTTTCTTTACTGATTCTCATTACACACGTTATTTTTACACTTTTTCTTGTCAAGAATTTTTGATTCTCAGGCTGAAACATGTCTAGCTCACAAAATGCACCTGTTCATGACAACGAAGGTCTTGGTGAAAACAACAATATAGGGGTCGGTGTACCACCGATAAACCTTGGGGAAGTGCCAAACATGGAACCAGTTGATGTTAGTTCACATATTGCTCTATACGCGAATTTAGGCACAGACCCCGGAGGGAGTGTACGTAGGGAAGCCTGACCTGGTGGCCAAGGAAGACAAGGAGTGGGTGATGGGGGAATTAGCCTCCATGTGATATTCGAGATGCTGCAAGCTCAACAGATCGCCATTGCTTAACTTCAAAGTCAAAATAAGACTCCGAGTGTAGCTGAACATGAAAAAAATCGACGTGTTGAGCCAGCGCCAGAAAGGTCAAATGGAAATGACTCGGGGACTGACCCCACCATTATGAGGATGCTCGAAGAGCTCACCAAGAGGATCGACTCCGGAGAAAAGAAGATTGAAGACAATGAAAAAAAGGTGGAAACTTATAATTCCCGTGTTGACCAAATACCGGGGGCACCTCCAGTTTTGAAAGGATTAGATGCCGAAAAGTTCATACAAAAACCATTCCCCCAAAGTGCGACTCTGATGCCTATTCCTAAGAAGTTTCGCATGCCTGATATACCCAAATATAATGGGACAACCGACCCTAACGAGCATATTACTTCATACACTTGCGGGATCAAAGGAAATGATTTGAATGACGCCGAGATTGAATCAGTCTTGTTGAAAAAGTTTGGAGAAACATTGTCGAAAGGAGCCATGATTTGGTATCATAACTTACCTCTTAACTCTATTGACTCATTTGCTATGTTGCAGACGCCTTCGTGAAAGCACACGCGGGGGCCATAAAGGTGGCCACGAGAAAATCGGACGTCTTCAAGATAAAACAAAGGAACGACGAGATGTTAAGGGAGTTCGTGTCCAGGTTTCAGATGGAAAGAATGGAATTACCACCTGTCTCGGATGACTGGGCAGTACAAGCTTTTATGTAGGGTTTGAATGAAAGGAGCTCGATTGCATCTCTACAATTAAAGCAGAACCTGATCGAGTATCCAGCTGTGACGGGGTCAGATGTGCACAACCGTTATCAGTCAAAAATCAGGGTCAAGGACGACCAGTTGGGAGCCCCCTCGGGTTCAATTCATCCTAACAGGTTCGCGGCCAAGCTCCCGAGGGATACGAACAGGGAATCGAGATCGAACAGGGAATGGTATCAGCCGTATGTCGATCGAAGGAACAAAGGTTCAGGTCAGAACGCTCCTCGGAACGATCGGAGAGACGATCGAGGTCAAAGTTCTCGGGGACTCATGAGTAAAAGCGGATTCGATAAGCATACCGATCCCATAAAGGCACCTCGATTATCGGAAGACAACGTCAGTGTAGATGCATCAGGGATTGTGTAAGCTATTGGAAAAATCAAAGACACCAAGTGGCCCAGGCCTATACAGACCGATCCTTCTCAAAGGAACCCGAACTTGATGTGCAAGTATCATGGCACACATGCTCATAGAACAGAAGATTGCAGGCAGCTAAGGGAAGAAGTGGCTCGGTATTCAACGAGGGTCACCTTCGAGAATTCCTCAGCGATCGAGCCAAAAACCACTTCAGGGAGAGAGATGCAAGGAAAAATGAGCCAGAAGAACCACAACATGTAATCCACATGACCATTGGCGGTGTATCACCAGAGAAAAACAGACTCGGAGCTATGTGCCCGAGGATGCCTTATCGTTCTATGACGAAGAAGCAGAAGGCATATCTCAGCCACACAACGACGCCCTGGTAATTTCTATCCTTTTAAATAAAATTCAAGTTAAACGTGTTTTAGTGGATCCAGGTAGCTCAGCGAACATAATCAGATCGAGGGCCGTGGAGCAACTCAGCCTACAAGATTAGATTGTACCCGCATCCCGGGTCCTAAATGGATTCAACATGGCAAGCGAAACAACAAAGGGAGAGATTACCTTGCTAGTAAGCATCGTCGGGACCGTACAAGACACTAAATTCCATGTCATCGAAGGCGACATGAGGTATAATGCACTCCTCGGGAGACCATGGATACACAACATGAGGGCAGTGCCTTCAACTCTTCATCAGATGATGAAGTTCCCAACAGAAGAAGGAGTGAAAACAATCTACGGAGAGCAACATGTTGCAGAAGAGATGTTTGCAATCGAGGAAGCGGTGCCGATACCAGAACCTTTGACCTCGGAGAAATCGAGCACCAAAGGTAAGTAGGCGGCTAAATAGCAATCACAGCCCCCAGCCTCGATGGAGTCAGAGCAACAGGTAATCGAAGACGAAGAAGAGGATTTCCTTAATCCTCGAACCTTCGTCGTTCCCGAAGAGTCCAATGCAACCAAGTCAACTGTCAAGGAACTGGAGCAGGTCATACTTATCGAATAATTGCCCTAGAGAAAGGTATACCTAGGAACAGTATTGACCCCCAAGCTCAGGAAAAAACTCATTCAATTTCTTATTAATAATATAGATTGCTTTGCTTGGTCCCATTTAGATATGACAGGGATTCCACCGGAAATCACCACACATCTGCTAAGCACCGACTCCAGTTCAAACCGGTGAAGCAAAAAAGGAGGCCTCAGTCTGAGGTAAAACATGCTTTCATAAAAGACGAGGTAACCAAACTTCTTAAAATAGGATCCATTCAGGAGGTAAAGTACCCGAATGGTTAGCCAACGTAGTTGTAGTTCCTAAAAAAGGAAACAAACTTAGAATGTTTGTAGACTATAAGGACTTGAACAAGGCATGTCCGAAAGATTCTTTCCCATTGCCAAACATCGATCGTAAGATCGATGCCACGGCCGGCCACGAGACCCTAACTTTTCTCGATGCCTACTCCAGGTACAATCAAATTCAGATGAACCCGGAGGACCAGGAAAAGACTTCGTTTATTACTAAGTTTGGAACTTATTGTTACAATGTAATGCCCTTCGGGCTAAAAAATGCAGGAGCTACATACCAACGCCTAGTCAACAAAATGTTCGAAGAACAAATAGGTAAAACAATGGAAGTTTATATTGATGATATGTTGGTTAAGTCCCTGCGCACAGAGGACCATTTAGCTCATTTACAGGAAACATTCAAAATCTTGAGGAAATACAACATGAAGCTTAACCCGGAGAAGTGTGCCTTCGCGGTCGGCTCGGGTAAGTTCATCGGCTTTATGGTGTCGAACCGGAGTATAGAGATTAACCCCGATAAGATCAAGGCCATCGAGGATATAACGATCATGGATAGCGTGAAGGTTGTGCAAAGGCTAACAGGGCGAATAGCTGCTTTGGGTCGGTTCATTTCGAGGTCGTCAGATCGAAGTCACCGTTTCTTTTCCTTGCTCAAAGAGAAAAAGGATTTTGCATGGACCCCGGAATGCCAAAGAGCCCTGGAGAAACTAAAGCGATACTTATCGAGCCCGCCTTTGCTTCATACCCCGAAGGTAGACAAAAAACTTTACCTATATTTGGCTGTGTTAGAGATGGCGGTAAGTGGGGTACTAGTTCGAGAAGAGCAAGGTATGCAATTTCCTGTTTATTATGTAAGCCGAACTCTAGGAGATGCTAAAACTAGGTACCCTCACCTAGAAAAATTAGCACTTGCATTAATAAGCGCATATCGAAAGCTAAAACCATATTTTCATTGTCATCCTATATGTGTATTGACCACTTACCCCCTTCGAAATGTTTTGCATAAGCCCAAGCTATCGGGCCGATTGGCCAAACGGGCCGTCAAACTTAGCGGGTACGATATCGAATATCAACCCCGAACGGCAATCAAATCTCAGATCCTAGCTAACTTAGTGGCTGATTTTACGCCGACCCTCGTACCCCAAGTGGAGAAAGAACTCCTTCTAAGTTCGGGTACAACATCAGGGGTATGGACCCTTTTTAGAGACGGTGCCTCGAATGTGAAGAAGTCCGGGCTTGGCATTTGTCTTGAATCCACCCACGGGTGATACCATTAGACAATCTATCAAAACTTCTAAATTGACTAACAATGAGGCCGAGTATGAGGCCATGATTGCAGGTCTCGAGCTAGCTAAGAGCTTGGGAGCAGAAGTCA